GAGTGGGCCCTGCCGGGTGACTGAGCACATTCACACAGGCATGCCACGCCCTCCCCCCCCCCCCCCCCCCATGGCTCAACAGGCTTTCAGCCTAACTCCAGGTGACTACCAGACCTGGCAGCACTGGCCTGACCCATGACGATGATTGTGTTCCAGGTCACCAAGGAAATGGGGACACCACAAGCAGCAACTTGACTTTGGGTGCATGCAGATAGATGTGTAGGACACGGTGAGGACCACAGATAATACACTCCTAAAAAATGGTGTGTAAAACAGACAGATTGAGCCCTGGTTGTGTTGCATGACTGACTTCCCCTCCCCCTGCCAGGCTAAATCCCCAAATATAACCTGTGAGTGTCCCGGAACCCTAACATTTCCAGAGTCCCTGACCTCTTTGTGTTAAAGCATCCTGGATTGCTTTTGCATTTGTTCTGTGGCTATAGCGGGGCGGACAGAAGGACAGAGGGAGCTACAAACATGAAACTGTGAAATCTTTGCTTTTGAGATTTTACCGCCTACCAGGGTAGAACACGCTGCAAGCGAGATCACCATTTTGAAACATCTGTTGTGCGCTCGGCACTGCACCATCTTAGCTGCTCAGCAACACATTGTCTAAAGTCAAGATCCAAAGTGTGAAGAGTGTTCCGAGAGATGCCGGTGATTTCTTGAGGAAGTGACACTGGATCTGGCACTTGGAGAACAGGTGTTATTTCATTGAACAGAATTGTGAAGGCCACTGAGAGAGCTGATGTATTCATCAAGCCCATGAGGCAAGAAAATAGAGGTCATGCTTCCTGAATGAGGAACATCTCCTGGACTCGATATGCCTTTTCCCCAAATGCAACAGTGTGGTGTTCACCCAAGTCTTGACTTTCTTGCCTACCTCCTCTCACATCCTGACCCATTCTACGATCCATGGATAGATCCATCTTTCCAAAACCCATATCCTACCAAATGACAACTCTACCAAGGAAGGAAGTTAAGAAGGTCAGAGACGGGGATCATAAGGCTAGGTGGTAGGGACTGGAGTCAGTAAATGCCATTGCTTACATAATAAAGTCCAAACGCCTTATATGCAAAGCTCTGAGCACCTTGCAATGCCAGCTGGTTCATTTCTAGTTTCATCTCATGCTTCTCTGTCCCCAGAGTGCTCTTGCATATCAGTCTCACCTAAACATATTGTGTACTTTATTAGTCTGTGCCTTTGTTTCTCCTACTCTACTGCCAGAAATGGCCAGGTCTCATTGGAAATTCGTGTCATTTTTGAGATTCCATTTAAATGGCAACTTCACTAAGGCATGTCTAATCATTTGTCCAGAATGAAGTGCTTACTGCAAAGGCCATGAGACACCCTTCTTCTATCCCAGCAATGGTCATCTGAGATAGGACCTGGAGTCACATGACCTGGTCCAATCTAACCCAGCTGCAATGCAAGAGCTGCAATGAGCTTCCTCATTTGTGAAAATGGAGATTTCCAATGTACCTTATGGAATCTTGTATGATAAAATGTAAGTGGAGATACTTTGTAAGCTATTACACAGGTAACCTCTGTCCATTTACATGTTAAACGTATAAAATGTAAAGTCTCTCTTCCCCATTCACATATAACAGGAATATTAAAAAACACATACTTAAAAATAATTACATTAGGGCTGGGAAGGTGGCTCAGTGGTAGAGTGCTTGCCTAGCATGCATGAGGCTCTGGGTTCAATTCCTAAGCACCACATAAGCAGAAAAGGCCGGAAGTGGTACTGCGGCTCAAATGGTAGAGCAGTAACCTTGAGCTGAAGAGCTGAGGGACAGAGAGTACCCAGGCCCAGAGTTCAGACCCCACAACTGGCAAAAAAAAAAAAAAAAATTAGAGTTGTAAAGGTTTACAGAGAATTCTCATGTACTTGTTACCCAACTTTTCTCACTGCCAACATCTTAAGTAACCATGCTACATTGATTAAAAGTAACAAATTAATAACCTAGTACAATACATTAGCTAACCTATAGATTCTATTCTCATTTTTTATCAGTGTTTCTACTGATACCCTTTTTGGTCTGTTCCTGGATCCAATCTCAGCCAGCATTTAATTGCCATGTCTTTTGTTCTCCAATCTGGGACTCTTTCGCACTTGTTCCTTGTCTCTCAGGATCTTGATATTTCTGAAGAACTGTTTAGCTAAGTTGTAGAAGTAGAAAAGCCCCTCCATGTGAATTTTTTGTGCTATTTTCTTGTTCATGGAGGTTATAGATTTGGCATCAAATGGGACAGAGGAAATGCACGTTCTTTGTACTGCACATGGGGGTACCTCACATGAACATTCTTGGTGACAAGAAAGGGAGTTTGTTGTTGTTGTTGTTTTGCAGTACCAGGGATTAAATCCAGGGTGTCATGCATGCTAAACAAGAGCCTGGCCACTTGAGCCATGTCCCTAGCTCTTTCATTTTTGTATTGTTTCTGAGATAGTCTCAATAACTGCTCACATTGACCTTGAACTCTGTCCCTTCCACTCAAGTTACTGGGATTTCAGGTATGTGCATGGTAATGATTACAGGTACCTGTAATGCCTAGCTAAGAGAGAGAGTTTTTGAAGGGTTCATATCTGGCATTTGCAATAGATTGACTCATGGTATGCTCAATGAATCTCAATTAAATTGAATTATTCTGTCTCTTGCCGAGTATTACTTGTGGATTAGTTAGTACTTGTATTTATTTTCAGTAGTATATAGGGATTGAGGGGCTATAGTTCAATTGGTTCAATGGTAGAAGATAGCTCAGTAGTGGATATAGCTCGGTGGTAGAGTAAAAAAATGAAAATTAGCTTAGTGATTGAATTGAAAGGTAAATTGGAGTTTGGCTGTATTTTATTCAATATAATTAGGGGCCCTGTGACTGATTTTAAGCATTCAGTTGAACAGCTTAGTAATTATTCTTTTCACACTTTCATAGTGCTGTCAGCCCTTCTTTGCTTTAGTTAATTTTCAGGTAGGATCTTGAATTTTTTAAACAAGAAATCACTTTAAAAATAACAACAAAGAAAAACCTCTTATGTTCATGTCTTGGAGTTCATTTCGCTTAGCATCATCTTACATGGTCATATGTACATAGCTACTGAGCTATTCTGCTCATCTGTTAGGAATATCCTAGATATATACTAATTATTATGAATGAGGGAAACCATAGGACTTACATTCTGTGGGTCTGGCTTACTTCACTTAATATGATGTTTTCTAAGTCTCTTCATTTCCTTACAAATGGAGCAGTGCCATTCTTTCTGATAGAAGCATTTTCTTGATCCATTCATCTGAGGGGCATCTGGTTTGGTTCCAAACCTTAGCTATGGTAAATAACAATGCAATGAACATAGTTGTGCTGGTAGCTTTAATATGGCCTTGTCTGTGGTCATTTAGGTAAGTTCCCAGAAGTGGGATTGCTGGGTCGTAGGGGAGCTCCATGTGTAGTCTTTTGAGGACACTCCATACTACTTTCCACAGTGGTTGAACAAGATTACTTTCTCACCAATAGTGTAGTAGTATTCCCTTTTGGCCACATTCTAGCACCTGTTAATAGATTTCTTGATTATAGCCATTCTAACTGGGGTGAGGTGGAATCTCAATGTTGTTTTGATTTGCATTTCTTTTATGATCAGAGATGTTGAGCATTTCTTTGTCTATTGGCCGTTTTTATTTCGTCTTCAAAGAAGTCTCTCTTTTAAGTCGTTAGCCCATTTATCAATGGGACAGTTGTTTCTTTGGGGATTTGTTTTTTGAGGGATTTAAATTTTTGAGTTCAAAGTATATTTTAGTTATGAGGCCCTTGTCGGTTGGTTGTATGCTAGTGAAGATCTTCTCCCAATCTGTGAGCTTTCTATTGATTTGATCCCCACCCCCACCCCTGACGTAGGCCTCCCTCATAGCTAGAGTCACAGGCAGGTATCACCATGCCTGGCGGAGATCCCTATGACAATTGAGTGAAGAGAAGAACTAAGATGCCAGTCGGAGAGACAGTTGTTTTTATTGTCTTGCTTTGAGTCCATTGCTACCGATTTGGCCATAGCATTCTACGTGGGTAGAAGTCAATCAACTTGGGTTTGTAGATGCTGCATTTGTCTCCCACCAAAACACCCTGTGAAGGTGTGTAGGAGGCAGTCATAAAGGCTGGGCAGAGGGGAGGTTGGCCTTGAGATCTCGATCTGAAAGCATTTCTAGTCAAGCTAAAGAAAGGGAGCCGATGGACAGGGCGGGCGTCACGGCGAGAGAAGTCAGACACTTACAGATCGGTTAGAAGCGGGAGTCGGCCAAGGACAGGAGTAAAACCCCTCGGAAGCCCCACAAAGACCGTGGTCGAGAGCTCGTCGGGTGGCCGTCGGGGGGGGGGGGGAGCGCTTCACTACTGAGAGGATGCAATGGCGGGGAGGCTTAGGGAGGGGTGGGAGACGAAATGACGGGGTGACGGCGCCTCTTCTGCCTCTTCAGAGCGAGGGCTCGCAGAAGCAGAGGCTGGGAAGCCGTGTCTGTCATTTCAGTCCGGCCACTCAGCCTGACCGCGGCCTGGCACAGAGCCCTCCAGCCTCGAACCGCTGACTCCCCGGGCCACGGCCGCTCGCCCCGCCCCGCAACTTCAGGAGCCGGGCCGGAGCCTCGCGGCGCTGGCCACACGGACCGTATTTATATCCACATTCCCATCCTCCTAAGGCCACCACAGCCGTTGATCCAGGCGGACAGCGCGAGAGAAGTAGGCGGCGCCGGCTACCCTGACTCAGATCTGACGCCTCACCAAGAACAAGGCTAGACGAGGGGGAAACAAGGGCGCTATCCTTCTGCGCTTGCGCTCCGTGTGGCTCTCCACTGCGCCCCGCCCACTCGAGCCGTAGTGCGCAGGCGTAAAAGGTAACTTCCGCCAGGCTTCGCTTAGCTTCACGATTTCCTCCGTCCCGTCTCGCCGAGAACCCGGCTGTGGCGCGGCGCGGCGCGGCGTAGGTGAGTAGGTCGGGCGCGTACCGATGACGAAGCGGAAGCGTTCCGGAGGGAGGCGGTGGCAGCTCCGGCGGGTCTCGGGATTGCGGAAGTTTGTGTTCGGAGGGGCCCAGGGCCGGCGGAGCTGTGGTGGTTTACAAGTTCCGGAACGGAGGCCGCGGCTCCGGGTCCGAGCGCCACGAGCCTCCAGAGGTGGGTCACACTGGGTGCGATTGGGCGTCGCGGCCTCGGGCTTCCTCCGTTCCTCGCTCGTCCCCGAGGAACCGCCTCATCTCCACCATGGCTTCCACCGGGCCCAACCTCCAGGTATGGCCGCTCGGTGCCCCTCCAGGCGGGAGCCGGGGCCGGGGCCGGGGCCAGGGCCGGGGGCGGGAAGTGAGGTGGGGGCGGGGAGGAGCGAGGAGGGGCCGCGCCCCGGAGGGCGGGGCCGCGGGCGGGAGCGGCGCGGGGAGGGACCCCGGGGAGGGACCCCGGGGTGGGCCCCCGGGGAGGGCCCTGGGCGCCCGCTCCCCGTGCCCGGGGAGGGTCTGCGGCCCGGCCCGTGGGTCTGCGATGGCACCGGGGGAGAGCCGCAGCCAGACCGCGCACACCCCGCCACTCGCGGCCACCAAGGCAAGTTTTGCAAAGCACCACCCTGATCCAGTTACAAGCCGGGTGGGCTCAGTTCACTCCTTGTGCAAAGCTCTGCCCGTCTTGCTGCCAGGTACATGCAAGTAAGAGCCTTGACGGCTGTGGTTAGAAAGCCGGACTACAGAGTCTGCCAGAATTCACTGAGTGTGTATGTGCTTCCGTACAGTCTCAAATTATATCAAATCAGAGACTGAAAACTCCTTTGTGACTCCACCCCCATCGCCGTGAGCACGCCGGCCTTGGGGTGCATCAATCGTGTGGAACCCTAAGATGTTAGGCTTGGGAAAGGATCTGTAGTCCCTTGTGGAGTGGAATTCATTGGGTATGAAGAAATGTGTGTAACGGTGTTTCCTCGCCTCAACGACCGGAGCTTTGATGGGGGTTAAAATATGAGTCGGTCGCCAAAATTCCCAGCCCACCACGTCAATTTGGGACAAGAGAGTAACGTGAACTGCCTGTCTATATTGAATTCTTATTTTGGACTTGGGGGAGTTTGTCAGACAGGTTCTTGTTGAGTGCCTGGTCCTTGTTATCAGTGATAATGGCAGATTGCCTTATTGGGGTAATTGATCCTGAAGAAAGACCACTCAGTGTAAACCTATTTAAACAGATCAGATAGTCGTTGTCCAGCCCCAGACCCCACCCACAGAATGAAATGATAGGCTTGTTTATGGTTCTTATCTCAAAAGAAAATCAACCTGTAGGTTGTAAAAATACATCTTTTTATCTTTCACAAAATGTTACAATGCAACTATGACACATTTCTTTAAAATGTTATATGTTGACTGGTATGTATATCTTTTCTACTTAGGTGGTATTAAACTAAGAACACTTCATTTAACCTCATAGCTTTTTGCAATACTATTTGGAAAAGTTTTTTTTTTCTTGTTTTATGTCTTGGTAAACGTATCTTGAAAGTATTTTTCAGTTTGTAAAGGTATTGTTGTGAATATTATAGGTGATTTCTTTTGACATGCCATCTTATCCTCTTCATTGGTTTGTCAGTTAGCTGATTTTGTTTCATTGCTTTATTTGTTAGACAGTGACTTTAGAGGTGACTTGGTCATTCTCCAACATAGTTTCAGTCCATTTCCTCGTATCTTCTTGTGGTTGTTGTTCTATAACCAAAATGCATAAAGACTGAATTGGATTGCTGTATGTTCTTCAGTGAAATACCTAGAGGTTGATCAATGTTAAAAGTCATAGTCACAAATGATAGCAGGAGTAATGTTTATTGGTACTGGTTGGTTCAGGTGAGCTTTCTCATTCAGCCTTTTCAGCCTGCTGGCCTCTAGGAAATTTGGATGAATAGTCAGATAATGGATGACTGTCCCAGTGAACAAAGCAGAAGTCCCCGTTGCCAAATGCTAGTAATCTACTAAAAAACAGAATTACAACATAATTACATAAATGCTGTAATGGTATTAGAGGTTAATGTGAGGAAAGGCAGATCTTACTCTACCAAGGACAGATGGGAAATATATCACAGAGGAGATTATCTAATCTCAGGTAAAGAGGAGCACTATTAATTGCTCAGTCTTGGAAACAACTCTTCAAGGTGAATATTATTCCCAGGTTATAGTTTTAGAAATCTAAGCTTATTAAGGTTATGGATATGGTATACCCAAAGACATGCAGTTAATTAGTGTTAAGGTTAGTTTTAAAACCAGATCTCTCTGTTTACAAATCCATGATTTCCTTCACTGCAAAAATTCTGTCTCCTTGAATAAGAAAATTGAGTGTTTACCAAGGAAGGAAAAAACAACTTAGGCTTTAGTCCCGAAGTGTAATTAACCTTATAGAAAATGTAGAAAACAGCAAGGAGTAAAGTATGAAGCAGAACTTAAAGTTTACTCGGTCCTCAATAGTTACTAATATGATATAGAACGGACAAGAAACAATAGAAATCTAGAGGAAGCACAAGCTGGCTGCTCTAGTGGTGTTGAGGAGGTCTTGTGGCCACAGGGCTTTGACTATACTGAGTCCTGTAGAAGCTGGGAGTTTTATGGGGAGATAGTGGCATGGTGCCTTTTCTGAACATACACACAGGGAACCTTCTCTGTATACACACATAGCATAGCTATGTATACACACATAGCTGGTCTGGGGTGTGCCCAGAGTTTGGTATGACAGGAACTGAGTATACAAGGTGAGAGTACCCGTGTGCCACACACAAATGATGGGTCCTCATTCTGCTGTAGTGGAGAGGTGGAGGGTTTTACACATGGAGTAACATGTTCACATGTTTTAGACCCAAATTCTCATTTGTCTGTATAGGGAGAAACCTGGTAGAAGAATACCAGTTAGAAAGCAGAGGCTTGTCTGATGGGAGATGGTAACTGTCCAAATTATTGTAGTAACAATTTGAATAAAGAATAAAAGTTTTGAAGAGTAATCAGATTCGTATCTGTGTTTCAGAGTGGGGGAGGAGGAGTCTTGAGTTTTCTGCTATGTTTTTAGTTTGGATATCTGATTGATTCTAGGGATTCTCTCTCTCTCTCTCTCTTTCTCTCTCTCTCTCTGTGAGCAAAATATTAGTTCTGCCCTTGAGTGTGAAATGCTTCTGGGTTCCATCAGGTGGAAATGCACATGCAGAATGAGAGTGAGTGGTCCAGACTAGAAACAAGGATTTAGGAGTTACTAGCAAAACAGTGGTATAGAAGTTAGAAGCCCATCTGAGAGTTTACACAATGGAAAAACAAGGACCATGGACCCTGTGGAGTATTAACATTTAAGGAAAGAAAGATACACTGGAAAAGGATTATTGGATAGTTGAGAGTAAAACCAGGAGCACATGATACACTGAATGCCTAGAAAGGAAACCATGTTAGGATATTGTTACAAGTGTTAAGTGCTCCAGAGAGAGAATTAGGTAAGCAGGAGATCTGATAATCATGAGGCAGAACACAACACTGTGGGAGGAATAGGGGACCCAGAAAACATGATGAATTTGTGGACTCTTGATTTTACTGTGGTAATAAAGAGGGAAATGTGGAGCTAGCTAGAAACCCCGAGGTGGCAGATAGGGCTGGGGCGGCTGTTCTCCTGGCACAGGAAATGGTAGAATTTGCCATTCCCCAGGGCTTTCTAGGGTGGACACAGCATGCTCTTCCAATCTGTAAAGACACTCACAATATTCCCAGCCTGTACTTCCACACTGATGACTAGTTCTTGCTTAGTCTGTGGTAAAGAATCCCTAGGTCTTGTGCCAGGGCAGCCAGGGTACTGACTCAGGGCCAATGTGCAGGCAACAGGAACAGCCCTGTCCTTAGGGAGTTTACTTAGGGAGAAATAGGCAGAAAACCAAGCCAAACCACCCCCCCACCCCACCCAGAACTGAAACCCACATCTGTTCACAATCTGGAAGAGTGTGTGTATGTGTGCAGGCGTGCATGCATGCGTGTTTGTGTGTGTGCACGTGTGCGTGTGCGTGTGTGTGTGTGTGTGTGCACGCACACGCGCACATGTGCACTCACACACGGTAAGGGGGATGAAATGTTCCTTGAACTTTGTAGGCAAGGCTCTTGTACTTGAACCACACATGAGTCCATTTGCTTTTCAGATGGAGTTTTGTGCTAGCTGCCCAGGCCAGCCTCCAACCATGATTCTCTTACCTCTGCTTCCTGAGTAGCAGGGATTATAGGCATGCATTTCCATGCCAGGCCCCTAGAAGTATTTTATACACAGGAGTAATGTGAACAGCTGTGTTTGAAAATGGAGTCAGTTTGAGAGTCAGCAGTCTAAAGATAGTTTAAATCATTGAAAACATCATGTGTGGGGAAGGAATTAACAGTGAAGTGAATCCCAGCCCAAACCTTGAGGAACATATTTCAGTGGGATATCCAACGGTTTGAGAAATGAGCAAACCTATAGGGAAGGAGCTGCCTGAGACGTCAGACAGTAAGGAAAACGGTATTTGGGGCTCAGCAGAGGACAGCATCAAAAAGGAAATGATGGACTTTGTAGAAAATTGTCAGATCAACATGAAGGCAGAGCTGGTCTTTACATCCAGCATCATACAGAGCCTTGACATGAGCGTTTTTATTGGTGTACTGTTGTCAGGGCAAGGCAGAGTGTGATCCACGGCAGTTTGGGCTCTGAGGAAGTTTCTTTGTGTTAAGGGAGGCTTTGTGGAGGAGGGTTGTTTCAATGCTTGCAGAAATACCCACTGGAGAGAAATGATCAGAATGACAGAAGTGGAATAACCAACCAGTAGGAGGAGGATTTTGATGTTACTGGAGATGTTTTTACCCCTGTGGTTTGATTGAGTACCCATTATCTGCCAGCACCCTTCTAGTCAGGAGTGTTGGGGTAGGCCCTGTCCTCAGAGCTTTCTGTAGACAAGGAGAAGGCCAGTGAGTGTAGATACAGGTAAACTTAATGATAATGATGGCCTGAGTGAGTGTAGGGGTGTTGCAAGAGCTGAAACAGGAATCACAGCAGACTAAGGAGGATTTATTTGGGAACTTGCCATCTGGACCATGTCTTGAGTATTCTAGGGAGAGCTTTCCACAGTGCTTTCCACAGCCCGAGTGAACAAGGACTAGATGGTTTCAGGTGAGATCCAAACATAGCCACACACAGGTCTTTCAAGGCCTGTGTAGATCATGCTCTGACATTTGGATCTTATCCTTTGCATAGGAAGCCATCCAAGATGGCCGTGCGTGCCCTGTGGT